TTTGTTTTCTTGACACGGTGCAATAACCATCAATCCCCCATTCTTCTTCAAAACATACATTATAATTATCATGAGAGACTTCTGAAGCCGTTCTGTACCTGCGGGCATTTCTGCCAGTCGACCAGAAATCTCACGAAGAGCTTCGGCCCAACGAGACGTGGAGTCAGCCATCATACTCACGTGATAACCCATGTCGCGGAAATATTCCGACAGCGTGATACCTGTAAGACAGGAAATACTGGTTTAGCTGGTATTGGAGTTCAAGAGTATGATGGTAAGGCCATTCCACATGAGTATATTTCTATCAGAAGGCAGATACTTCCGTACATGTAAATACGTTTACACAACATGAAGAGGATTTTTTATGCCTTTCCCGAGCGGAAACGGAAAACGGAAAACCTGGCTGCAGTGACCAGGAGACTGGAGTTACCCACTCTAGTAGTCCATCAGCTTGCTACGTTATACCTGTATAAATTGAAGCTTCTCTGGCAGCTACAGGCATGTTGGAGGTATTGGCGACCAAAGCTGTACGCTTCATAATGGACTCTGTTACTCCTCCAATCTCAACTGTTAGCTGCAAAACAAAATACAGCTTTTACCATCTCGTTATGACATGTAATGAAACGGGCTCATTCCAGTCAAGGATGAGAAAATCGCGTTCATTTACTCCTTTGAGGCGAGCAGCGTTGTGTCAGTCAGTGGACGCTTAAGGAAAGAAATTTGTGCAAGTGCTTGCAGGAGCATTCAGGAAGACGGTAAATCAGGACCAGATTACATTAAAAAAAAGACTGTCAATGCTGTGAATCCTAACTTTTTCTCGAATTCAAATCCATTGCAATACATGTAAAAATAATAACAGAGGTTCTCATGCCTGAAAGGACTGAAATGAAAAGAAAACCATGCATTTCTTGTAACATGTTTATACATGCACTGTTGTTCTCACACATCTACGTCACAATGAAAACTAGATATGAAAACTATATATATGAGAGGAAATCTGGGGCGAGTCTGATCTCGCAGTCGTTTCTGGGAATGCTACAGAGGACATAGCCTCTCATCTTTCATTTTGTCCCTAGAAACGGTCCCACAAGCCATTGCGAGATGACACTTTCCCCAGGTTTCTTCTCATTTCTTAAGTGACAAATTTGAATCCCAATCAGAGAAAATATTGAACAAACACCAACTTCCTTGACACAATTAGCGATATGAATTCCAAAGGCGCACTTACCTCTGGAAAATCTCTTAATACTTCAGACATCTCATTTCCTCTTTCTCCACATCCTACATAGATAATGACGTCAGAGTTGGAAAACTTGGAGAGGGACTGGGAGATAACAGTTTTGCCACAACCAAAGGCTCCCGGGATAGCTGTTGTTCCTCCTTGAACACACCTGTGGTATGGCAACAACCATTCTTTCCTTCGTTAATGAGCAGAAACAACCACTGCTTAACAACAATTTCCCTTTATCGCTAAAATAAAAACTAAAATAGATTTAGTTTACTCACGGGAAAAGAGCATCTAATACCCTCTGGCCTGTTAACAGAGGATAGTTAGCTGCTAACTTTTCTGCCACAGGTCTCATTTGTCTCACAGGCCAAATCTGAAACAGGAATTTATTTTATCAAGCATACAAACCAATAAAAGTTATGTTACATACTGCCGAGATAGAGGGGGTTATGGGAAATCTACAACTCATGCCTGAAGCAATGTACTTTGCTTTCAAGACACAGTTGACCATTTCAAGTTTACCTAAAGTATAATTATTGTACCATACTAGGGTATGTGGGAGGCGCGGTAACCTCATGGTTAGTGCGCTCGTCTCCGGATTGAGCGGTCCGGGTTCGAGCCCTGGCCAGGGACATTGTGTTGTGGTCTTGGGCAAGACACTTTACTCTCACAGTGCCTCTCTCCACCCAGGTGTATAAATGGGTACCGGCGAACTTAATGCTGGGGGTAACCCTGCGATGGACTAGCATCCCATCCAGGGGGGAGTAAAAATACTCCTAGTTGCTTCATGCTACGTAAAGCAGGATAAGCTCCGGCCTGATGGGCCACTTGGCTCGCATGCAGACTTTACCTTACTAGGGTATGTTTCAAATGTAGTGACTAGAAAAGAAAAAAAAATTAAAAACTGCTCCTTGTAGCATGAAATCCATTTTAAGATTGTCTATCTATTGACAATGGTACAAGGCCTTGCAAGTGCTTGAATGAAGTTCTTATTTGTTACCTCTCATAGCACTTTAAATTAATACACAGATTAACGTACTCATTAGTGGTGCATCCTAAGCAACATAATATTTATTTAGAGAACATCATACAATGGTGCTATATACTTCATGACAGAAGTCACTGCCAGGACAGACGCACCTGCAACATAGTATGCTGTGATTTTTCTCCATCAAACTCTGTTTCCAACACAACATCCTAAAGAATTAAACAATTTTGCAGAACTTTAAATTCACTTATTTGATATAAATGTACATGCATCCACATACTGCCTTCAGAGTGATTACATGTAACATTCAAGCTGTAATTTGACCATATTAAAAGACCACCTACTGCAACTCACAACTTGCTGATGCAATTCACAACTTAACGATTAATATTTCAATCTCATTATTTTTTAAGCGTGCAGATAACATCTTCAGGCAAACAATTATTCGCCTTCAATAAACCCCCTTTGAAACAGTAGTCAGTATTATTAAGGGCAAAACATTCTTGTGAATGTTCAACATTCATTATTTAGTTGAACATGTACCAGAATTATTTGTATTTTCCAATAATTTTGGGCCATATCCAAAAAGAATGTCAAAGCGCCCCTGCTTCTAAGACAACAATCTGCACCACTGTGTTGAATCCCAAGGGTGATCAAAATGGAACTTCTCATCACAATACCAACACATTATCAGCAGGCAAGTGATGAGAATAGAGAAAACCATCAACTGAGTGACACTGTCTTGATGTAAAACCAAATTCTCAAAACTTTTGACCAAACTTTATGGCTAACAGTAAGATGAATTGATGTTTTGAACTTGGGACTGAAAAGGCTAAGAAGAAATCTATCCTCTTTTCTCAAACATTTTCTACAAATCTTAAAGAAGCACACCAGGCTGCTACTTACAGTAACACTGTAATTTCCTGGGGGTGCTATATATGTGACAGTTCCCCGAGCCTTTGGGTGAAGTGCAAGTCGGTGCTTCAACAAAGTATTTTCATGTACAATACCAAATATATCTCCTCCAGTCATGTGGTCACCGATCTAAATATAAACAAAAACAGGACAGTGTTACAGGAGCAGAGCTAGGACAAAGGTTGGGACTCATTGGTCTGCAATGTGTGCAGAGTCCCAGATGCACTGTAATTCATTGCTCTCTGAATTTATTTTGTTGTAGATCAATGATCTGGGTCAATGATTGAAAACACATTTGCCTAATTAATTTGGCCAGCTTATATATTTAATGTTAGTATTTTGTTTCTTATGGCAAGCTTCTTTGAAAGATAACTGATAGCTGAACTGATGGTGGA